CGAGATAACTGTTTAATATTCGACTAAAATACTAGCATATCGAGGAAGGCGTCTCAGGTTCAAGAAAGAGTCCAAGGTTTTGGTTCCAGAGCCAAAATTTTACTAGAATAAATCTGGACGTATTTGCAGAAACGTTCCAACCCACATGCCACCCGAAATCGAGATAATATGATCTTACTACCTTATAAAAGGTAGTATCTATACATATAATATAGTTATAAAAGAACTTAACATAACATCACGCCTTTTATCCCCGAAGGGGTAGGCAAAGGAGCACATTATGCCACTGTACAATGTAACACCCACTTTTCACTATTTATGTTACGAGTCCCATGTAATAGAGGGTGAGCCTATTGCCATATACCGGGTACAATTCCAGACTCCATGCTACTACTGAGAATTTTAAAAAACCCAGTAATACTTTGCCCGACCCCGGGAAACGAATCCAAGACCCCTAGCCCGGCAGTCGCACTTGCGACCACTCGGCCAACGAGGCAGGCAGAGTTATAAAGAGTAAAATTAATTTAAGTTATTATAATATAATTTAAGTTAAATCTTGGAACCTTTATGCTAATCGCTAGCTGTTATAAATGGTAGTAAGATCAAATTATCTCGATTTCAGATGTCTTGTAGGTTGGAACGTTTCTGCGCAGCTTAGTCTGAAGTCATGTCCTTGTTTATTACAATATGGTCGTTTTCTTTGTTCAAAGTGTAGTCATAGCAAATAAAAAAACCATACAATATTTCCTTTGGCTTTATTTCTATACTTGGGAATCAGTTTGATGATCACCGACCACATTCAGCATACATACACAAAATCAAATTCACTTCGCGACCGACCGTTTAAACATACAAATATATCACAAGTAAATAAAGCATAACATAATAGTCATCAGATACAAATACACAAGCTGTACATAGAACGAACTAAGAAGAAAATATGCATTTATATTAGGGCGCGTCCACATCTGGCGAATGAGCGGCCCGCGAACTGCGTACGTGCAATCACAGCAATGGTTAGGTACTCAACTTATACAAGCTCGCGAGCATTGTATTCGCAGAGCATTCGTCAGATGTGGACGCACCCTTAGAATTTAGGCAAGACAAATTAGAAATATAATTTTAACTCATTTAATATGTATGTACATATGAATTGAATATACTAAACACATTTCCTTGAAAATGAATATACAATTATGTCTAAGAAATATTTGAAAAAGTTCTATAATTTTCCTCGTTCATTCTACGGATAGCTTGTATGTGACTTAAATTTTACAACGCTACATTGACGTAATTGTCCCATGTTAATATATAATTTATACTCATGTTTTGTTTAACACGTGTACAAATATACTTGAGGAACAATTGATTTATTTTTAAAGGTTTTTGGAACACTCCGCTGCTTGAAACCAGAATAAAGTTGTTAATTTTGGGCGCATAGAGAAAGAGAAGAATTATAATATTAATGGTTTTGTTTATGTATCTAAATCGATGCTTTTATGATAATTGATTATATATACGATAGTTATTTATAGAATATAATACATAAATTAAGTAAAATGATACACAAAGAAACCAATATAAAATCGAGCTAAGAAAAATTAAATGTTTACAATATTCTTTTATAATAATATAATAAAAATAATATCCTAGAATAATTCTGTTAAGAACCAAAACCAATGAGGTTTGTAATTAGTTATTAAAAAGCAATTGGTTTTTAGTTCTATAGTATAGATATTAGTCTGTAATTCCCTTTCATACTCATTTGAAATAGCATAGTAAAGCTGTAATTAATTTTGTCTTACGTAATGAAACTTGACGGAGATTCCAAAGATTGGTCTGAACATTGGTGCCAATATCAAATGTAAAGCTGCCTAGTGCCAGTGTATTTTACACACGGTTATGATCTACGACGCTCTGATTGGCTGCTTCAACGAACCAACCAATCAGAGCCAAACGCGGTAACGTAAATAAACTCACACTGGGCCCTCTGAGGGCCAAGTACGAATAACTATCGCATTCGTATCGTAACGGTATCGAGCGAGTTAAGCATTCTGATTGGTTGGTTCACTTGAGCCGGCCAATCAGAGCGCCGAACGCACTCGATACTATTACGTTACGAATGCGATAGTTATTCGTGCTTGGCACTCGGTTCATCGTGTTGGCGCCAACGTTTGACCCAACACACCGTGTGGAGCGGTAACACGCTACATTTTTCACGTCGGAGTAGAAATGTCAGCTTACAAGTACTAAAATAGCATGCATTTTGTCTTATATACGTCAATATAGGTTTAAAATGATCACATAATATAAAGTAAATAAGTATTAGCAGATGTTTAGTCACAATATTATGGCGTTAGCAAAGTCGCCGCTACCTACTCCAACTGATCCTATATACAGGGTGATGCATTATCATTTACACAGTTTAATGCCCTTTGTGTCGAATTAAAGTGTTTTTTTTTGCTACTAAATGTCATTATTGTGTATTTTTTATTTTGACTTATAGGTTCTCCCTCTCAAGTTTGATAGATTTTAAAGAAATAAGGGCACTCTCTCAATGTATTAAGATATTGTATGTTACAGGTTGCTGAGACAAACGAGTAAAGATGCAATAATCGATCTTATTGCAAGTGAATTAGAAAACAAAGTCAACTGACAAAACTTACTACAAGAAATGAATAATGCGTCATTTTAATTCGACATAAAAGGTATCAGATTTAATAAAACTAAAGAGTAAATAAAATTCTACTAAATATATTCCGTAATCACTTAAAGATTTAACATTAACTTACTATTAAACATTTCTACATTAATTATGTTTATATTTATTTATTTATAATACAGGATAATTTGATTTTATTGTATTGTGAGACTTGACTTGCAAGCGGCTCGACTCACAACCCACCATGAAATTTTAGTAAAAAAAAAAATTAAATTATTATTGAATTAACGTTGAAAAATGTTACAGGACAAACTATTTAAAATTTTCCATGTTCATTACTTCATTGAGCAAATTCAACCTTCTACTATTTATGATAAGACTGCATTTCGAATGTCCGTAACACTTCACAAAAAAAACATCAAAATATGAACTGAATTCAAAACAATAATTTTAGCTACCATTTTGAAATTAAGATTGTTAAAAACTGATTTGAAAACTATCTACAATGATTATTATTAATAATAGATAAATAATAGTTAACATAATTGAGGTTTTAGTCCATATTAACAAGTCATCAATTCATTTAAAAAGGTACAATATCACTGTCCGTGCAATTGGATATAAGGCTTAATTTCTTTGCGATAAGGTGTAAAGTTGTGTATCAGATTAATACACCCAAAGACTTGCTTGAAATTCAATTTTTAGTAAAAAATAATTGTTTAATAATATGGACTGTTAAAGAAATACTCCCGATTATAATTGGGTAGTTTCCTAAATTTTAATTTTAATATCCGTCTGGTACATTAATTCAAAACTTTAGACACGTATTTTCTTCTTTTCTCACAAAATTAAATACTTTCGACGATATCGTGTGACGTCACAGCGTGCCGCATTTTGTAGCACGTTATGACGTAACAACCTCCCACTGCTAAACTTAGCGCCATTTTATCTAAATGTTGCAACTTAACTCGTCGAGTACCGTATTTATAGACACAATTAAAGAACAATAGGTCGCGGTCACCGGTGACCGCTTAGTGTTTGACAGTTTAATACGAGAAAATAAAAAAAAAACACGTGTCTAATATTTTTTCATTCTCTAACTGACGGACTAATTAGATTTTTAAATTTGATACCCTGGAAACTACCCAATTGCACCTTCATATTTTCCGCGCACTTGCCAAGTACTCCAATAAAGTTTTGCTCGACTTTTGTATGTAACAGCCACTTCAAGCCCAAAGCAAACAAATCCAAACATCAGAACACTGTTACAACTTTTATTTCCACCCAATTTAAGATTCACTTTTGCATGAACACATAAATCGCGATATGTCTCACTTTGGCCAAATTATAGTAAGCACACATACACAAACTTCTTTTACAGCTACGCCGATCAATTTTGAATTCTATTGCTGTCACAATAAGGCAAATGGTAGCCACAGGAAACATTTGGTATTTTACAACAAATATATCTTGATGGCAATTTCATTGTTGTGCCCAGGTGATACAATTTAAAATTGATTGAAATAATTGCTGAAGACAATTGTTACAATACTAAACCATTTTGTTAGTTTATCAGCATTTTGCCCAAGCAATCGTCTGAAGGCAGACACTTTATCTAACGTAAAACGTAAAACTTATAGTAATTTCAAAAACGTTTTGTGAAACAAATATATTTCCATAACAAAGCTATTTGACATAATTTTCCAGTTTTAAATTACTTTGAAAAACACACCCAACAACAGTTATTGATATGAAAATTAAATAAGTCGTCCATCACATTAAATTAGTGTGTTTATAGTTTTGTTCCAATTGCGTTATGTTTATAATTTCGAAAAACGTTATATTTCGATAAACTTTGGATTTATTACATCAACAATTTATTTAAACAGTCACATCGCAATGAAAGCACGTATTTATAGAGACAACGTCTAATTTGAAGCGATCCATATAAAAATATATAATTATAATTGAAATTCGAACATTTATTCGCGCGCCCAGTGACTTCGATCTCATTATAAATTCATTTATTCAATTGATCATAATTAATATTATTATTTGACATTTCTATTAAATAAATATAATATTATTATAGATTATTTACGGTGCTGGTGTAGCTTCGAAGTATTTTTTGGGAATATGTAATAGAAAATGTTCATTGAAAAAGTAATTATTTTTTCTATGCATTAAGATTCACTTTCGTACACACGGGCGGGCGACAGAGCTTATATAAGGAGCGTGCTCACTCGGTGCAAGAGTATAGATGGTCAGACAGTCAGACGATCAGACAGTCAGACGGTCAGACAGTCAGACTATGAGAACAGTTGCTTCCATGACTCGCTCATAAGTCGAGATTGCGTGGAATCGAGGACGACTGAGGAATCGCCGGTAGAGCTGCTACGCCTGCAAACAAATAATTTTGTTATAACAGATTCAATTGTATAATATCTATTGTAGTGTTAATATTTAACTAATTGTTAGGGCATAGACAATACACATACATAAACTATGTAATGGATTTACGAACAAATTAACAACTATCACAATCCAATATCTGCGAATCAAAGTAATCGAAACGACTACCTTCAGATGCCTAAGTACGAGTTTCTTTTACGTTAAAAGTAATCGTAACGAGTACGCGTTCGGCGCTGTGATTGGCCGGCTCTAATGAACCAACCAATCAGATGCCTTAGTACGAGTCTCTTTTACGTTTAAAGTAATCGTAACGAGTACGCGTAAAGCAACCAATCAGAGGCCTTAGTACCAGTTTGTTTGACGTTAAAAGTATTCGTAACGAGTACGCGTTCAGCGCTCTGATTGGTTGCTTCAATGGGACCGGCCAATCTGAGGGCTTAGTACGAGTTTCTTTTTCGTTTAAAGTAATCGAAACGAGACGGCGTCCGGCCCTCTGATTGGTTGGTTCATTGGAGCCGGCCAATCACAGCGCCGAACGCGTACTCGTTTCGATTACTTTCAACGTAAAAGAAACTCGTACTAAGGCCTCAGAGTGCCGAGCGCGTACTCGTTTCGAATACTTTAAACGAAAAAGAAACTCGTACTGAGCCGTCTGCTCTCCGATTCGTTAGTTCATTGGAGCCGGCCAATCAGAGCGCCGAACACGTACTCGTATCGATTACTTTAAACGTAAACCAAACTTGTACTAATGCCTCTGATCCTTATCCAAAGACTGGATTGAGATTGGTTATTAACTTCGTCGGAGCAACGTGAATGAAGATACTTGCGGCTTACTAACCATAGGGAGCTGATGACGCATATCGCCACGAAGATGATAAGGACCATAAGGAAGAAGGTAAAGTTAAGAACTAAAATGAAACAAGAAACACGATGAGAACACTACAATGCAGCAAATTTAAGGGAAATAGACACAAACTACACAATTTGTCGTTGTACACAGTACTTGACGATGCTCGGACCAACTCCCATATATTTTTGACTACTGTCTTTATAATATGCAGTAAATACTCGGAGACTGCCTCATTGGCTGAGTGGTCGCAAGTGCGACTGTCGGGCAAGGGGTTTCGGGTTTGATTCCCGGATCGGGCAAAGTATTACTGGGTTTTTAAAAAATTCTCAATAGTAGCACGTAGTCTGGAAATGTGCCCGGTATATGGCAATAGATTCACCCCCTATTACATGGGACTCATAACATAAATAGGGAAAAGTGGGTGTTACTTCTGTGTGCACCTCTGCTTACGCTTTTGGGGATAAAAGGTGTGATGTAATGTTATGTACTCAGAGACATTTAGTTCATTTAGTGACGATCTTCTTCTGAAAACAATTGCTGAGGAAGGGCTAAGTAACCATTTCTTCATTTGTGGGCGACTTATATTCGACTGACATGTATTTCCAAGTCTCTTATTTATGAAGTAAAACTATTATCGATAGATAATTATTATCTTAACAGACTTTGTAACTTTGTAAAACCAAAATTGTGTACCGAACATCGGTATAACTTTTGTCTGTGATTACGTTCCCGTTAATTTCAAGAGAAGTTTAGTACAGAAGAACATCGATGGCAAGTTATATCTGTTATGAGCATAAATGAATGAATTGAATGAATATTTGGAGACAAAGAGAGAGAGAGAGAGAGAGAGAGACAGAGAGAGAGAGAGAGAGAGAGTGGGGAAGGGAGAGAGTAAAGGAGTTTTTGAAGGAATAACCACAAGTAGCTTGAGGAGAAAGATACACAATAAACATACATAAACTATGATATGTATTTATTGCAATGTAAATGAATATGACGTGTACTGACCATAGGGTGCCGATGAGGCGGATTGCCCCGAAGAGGAATATGACCACAATGATGTAAATATAACTTAAAACTAAAATGAAAAACAAAACAAAAAATTAAGCTATAATAACATGATAATACCGAAACTTTATGACACATTTTGATGTCCTGTGTACATTTTTTTCGTACTTTGCAACGCTTCAAGTTACTCAGAAGCATTTTTGTCCGCCGTATTTTATAATATAATATCTAATATTGTAATACTCTTTTCGTTTGCGGGCGACTGATAATGTAGTTAAAGATATAAGATACTATTTATAACTCATTTCGTAACTGTTAACATTTAGTATGCATTTTAAAATCAACATTATGTACCGAGCACAACTGGTCGTCTCGTAAGTGGTCAATTTAACAATGTTCCCGTTATTTTCAGGACACGTTTACTACAGATGAATATCAAAGGTAAGTTTTAAGTTATATTTGTTCCGAATGAATGATAAGCATGTCAGAAAGCGAGTGCATACGGCCAAAGAAACGAAGAAGAGATTGTGTGCAGAATGATAAGAAAGAGAAAGAAGGTTGTTATGAATGACGTCTGATAGAGAAGGATGGAAAACGAAGACATATTGTGCGGAAATCAAGCAGCTTAGGACAAGTATAAGTGATTTGAATTACATGAAAAATTATAAGTAATTGCTTCGTTGTTGGAGTGCTCGCAAGCACAACTACTGAAGGTTCCAATCTCACGTCCGGTAAAACATTATTGGATTCTTTCGTTTTCGAAATATCGCAGTACCGTAAAATGGGGTGAATAGGGATCGAGAGGTGAATAGGGACAGAAGAGGGGTGGATGGATATAAGGAAATTCTTCATAATATCGATTCACCCCTCTTCAGTCCCTTTTCGCCCCTCAAACCCCATTCACCCCATTTTACATAACACAGACCGCGGAATAAGTGTACGGAACTCATAACATATCTGGTGAAAATTGGATTTAACATTTGATATATACTTTTACCGACCTTTTCAGTAAATAAAAAGTGTAATGGGAGCTAACGTTTTTTTGACCAGTATTTAGATGGCGCAAATGTAGCAAAGGAGTTTTGTCCAATCACAGCACCTGTCAAATATTTAACCAATGATATGACATAAGCTAATTCCCTATTGGACGAAGAACGAAAGGTTCACACTGGCGCCACTCGGTGAGCAAAAATACGGTAGACCCCATTCAGTTATTAAGGGCAGATTTTTCAATCAACAGACCATTCTTAACTGTAGATTAAAATTGACATCTGACATTTTTTAGTGCGGAAGAATAGGGTAGATGAGTATTTTAAAATATTACACACGTATTTCACAGAAACGAATATTTTCGATGATATATTGATTTAAAATGTCGCATGACGTCACTTCTATGTACATTTCATACGCAGAAATGACGTTTTAGCCCCCACTCCTAAACTTTAATTCGTTATATCTCAGTATCATTTTATTATACAACAAAATAAAAAAATACGTGTCTAATATTTTTTCATTACCTAACTGACGGACTAATTAGATTTTTAATTTTCATACCCTGTTATTCGCCCTATAATTGTCAAATTATTTTTTGGATAAAATGTATCTGGTGTTGGAAAAATCAGCCTTAAGATAAAAAAAAGAAACATACCTATTTCTCCGGTGGACTCTGTGTTGATGGAGTGTGTGTCAGAGATGAGTAGCGTGGTGTCTCGAGCGTTGTGTGTGTGTGTGTCGGCGCGCTGTGTGTGTGTGTCGGCGCGCTGTGTGTGTGCGCTGTGCGAGCGCGCCCGGCGGCCCCGACGCCCGCGGCGCTCGCTGGCCACGGTAGTCACGGCCGGGACCGCGGGGACCGTACTAGTGCCCACTGGAGCCACCGACGGAAGCAACGCTTCTCTGTCGCCCGTCTCCACTCTGATAAGCAAAACGAATTATATTATAGTAGGTAAGTAGATCCGATGTATGTTGATTCCGTTCTCTTTTCGGGGAGAATACCAAGGGCATGGAGCAGAAATGTTGTAGCTATGTTCTTTAAGAAAGGAGACAAAACCCTCTTGAAGAACTATCGACCTATTTCCTTTCTGAGCCATGTCTATAAGCTATTTTCCAGAGTCATCATTAACCGTCTCGCGCAAAGACTCGATGCGTTTCAGCCCCCTGAGCAGGCTGGGTTCCGAGGAGGATATGGCACCATAGACCACATACATACAATGCGGCAGATTATACAGAAGACTGAAGAGTATAATTTGCCTTTATGTCTAGCATTTGTGGACTATGAGAAAGCCTTTGACTGTATTGAAACCTGGTCTGTTCTGGAGTCCTTACAACGGCGTCAAGTCGATTGGCGATATGTCCAAGTGCTAAAAGATCTATACGATGCTGTAACTATGGTCGTCCAAGTACAGAACCAGCAGTCTGAACCTGTTCACCTGCATCGAGGGGTAAGACAAGGGGATGTTATTTCTCCCAAATTATTTATCAATGCTTTGGAGGATATGTTCAAGACGCTGCACTGGAAGGGACGGGGCATAAATATAAACGGCAAGTATCTCTCACACTTGAGATTTGCAGATGACATCGTCATCGTGGCTGAAACCGTGCAAGACCTACAATATATGCTGAACAGCCTGGCTGATTCTTCTGCTCGCATTCGACTCCGGAACATAGACAAAACGAACATGTTCATTGAAAGGTGATGTTTAATGAACATGTTCTTCCGGAGCCGATCACCCTGAATGGGTCTACTTTCGAGGTTGTTCAGGAGTATGTCTACCTAGAACAAACAGTTTGGTAGAAGCACTTCGAGAGGGAAGCTCGTAGAAGTATACAGCTTGGCTGAGCGGCACATAGGAAACTCTATCGGGTCTTTTCGTCAACTTTACCGCAAAACCTGAAGATAAAAGTCTTCAACGAGTGCGTCCTACCAGTAATGACATACGGAGCCGAAACGTGGACATTAACAGTGCGACTGGTCCACCAATTTAAGGTGGCGCAGCGAACTATGGAGAGGGCTATGCTCGGAGTCTCTTTGGAGGATAGGATCCGTAACGAAGTGATCCGACGGAGACCTAAAGTTACCCAAGCAGAATGGCAGTGGGCCGGTCACATTTGTCTAAGAACCGATGACCGTTAGGGTAGACGTGTTCTGAAATGGAGACCGCGTCTAGGCAAACGTAGTGTAGGGCGCCCTCCAACTAGGTGGAGTGACGATTTACATGAAGTGGCAGGTAGTGGTTGGATGCGTAGAGCTGAAGATCGAAATCAGTGGCGTGCCATTGGAGAGGCTTACGTCCAGCAGTGGACGAAAACAGGCTGTTGATGAGGTAAGTAGACATACCTATTTCATAATCCTGATAATAATAAAGCTGAAGAAGAGTTTCTTAATTAGAACAAATTACTGGTTCGAATTGAATAATGAGGGCTAACGTTCTTTTGCTCACCAGATGACGCAAATCTAGGAAGGGGTCCTTTGGTCCAATCACAGCAGCTGTCAAATATTGAACGTCAAATGATATGACACTAGGTAATTCCCTATTGGACGAAGATTTTCACACTACTGCCATCTGATGAGCAAAATATGGTAGGCCCCATTAGTTCATTTATGGAAGAAGGCTATTAGACTATAAAACATTACTCTATGATCAAAAGAAGCTGAGCAGAGCGAGTGAAACCGCGTGACAATAGCTAGTTACATATAAATTCGGAGTACATCAACAGTGTGTGCCAGTTCCTTGCTGGACAAAGGCGTCACCTCAAAACTATTTATTCAAATCGAACGAGTAGTTCCGAAGATTATGTTCAATTAAACAAACTCTTAAACATTATAATACAGGTAGAGGTAGATGAATTACTTACGTATCGTCATTTACAGGATTTGTTTCGTCATTATCTTCCGATTGTGAAGCCGCCTGCAAATTAAATCACTTTTAATGGACTAGACTCGATAACATGAAAATGCACATTTGAATGATATCTATTCTATACACAAGAAATAGCAAAAATCGATTCGCCAGTCGCGAATGACCGCAGTATATCTATATATATGTCCCATATAACCTTTATATTACCTTTATATATTATAATAATGTTGTTTAATATACCTCAGTGCTTCTCTGTTGGTTGTCCCGGCGCAGTCTCCGCATGAACTCGGTTGCTCGCACGAACGGGTTCACGCTCTGCTCCTCAAACGTACCACCCTGACACGGAAACCAAATAATTAAATAATGATAGCTATACGACACAGTATGGTGTGTCTGTGTGCACATCGGTTTGAGTACTAAAGTGAGGTTTATTTGAGTCAAGTGTATGATAGAATTTGTGTGAGTAAGTACTATATTTCGAGCGTGTATGAAGTTTTTTTTAGTATGGAGGCGTATCTGCGCGCTGGTGAGTGTGTGAGATGTATTCGAGCGAGTGAGAATGAGTTTAGTTGATAATGAATGAGTATATTCGAATGTGAGTGTGTATGAGTACATCTGAGTGTGAGTGAGTACGAGTATACTGGAATTATTGTAGTCAAGTTGAATGTGAGTTGAAAGTGTTTACGTACTTGTGTGGCGGTATTGTCGTTGAGTAGTGGTTCAGTGTCGGTGTCGGAGTCGGAGTGCAGGCGGCGCCGCTCGCCGGCCGCGAACACGCGCCGCTTGCACACCGGACACACTCGCTTGTTCTGGGTCAGCCACGGGTCGATACACACGGCGTGGTACGCTGCAAACATACAAACAATTCACCGGTTACTGACTGCCTGACTGACAGACGGTGCACAGGTGAAACTTAGCAAATGTATGTTTCTTGTTAAGGGATACTAAGAGAGTATTTTCCAAAATTAAACGAAAGTAGTGGTGGCTCGGAGAAAAAAGAAAAGAAAGAAAAAACATTTATTCTTGTGCAGAACACAACTAAAAACAACAAAAAATAAAAGTAAAATATAATATAGAGCGAGGGTTAACCCTTAAATGCATATTGAGCCGAAAACGGCACAACTTCAAGTTCAAATATCATGCCAAATAAAATACTGTTATATTATTAGCGGCTGTACTTTTAATCTGTTGTCTATGGAAAAAAAATGACGAGAATATCAACTTCTGCTCGGTTATCAGTACATTTTGTTTGTCAAATTATGACAGAAGTAAGAGCACTTGGCGCCAAACGAATATACGAAAATTCATTCGAAAAATGATATCCTTTCCAGTAAAAATATTATTTTAGCAGGTAATTTCATCAAATATATGTGCTTATAATTATTTTACTTCGCATTTCAAAAATAAAAACGTAAAAATATTTTTGTGCCGAAGACAACCCTTCATGCATATGTGGTTGGTATTGCATGATGTTGTGTTACTTTTTCAAAGTCAAAGTCAAAATCATTTATTTCAATTAGACCAGAAAGGCACTTTTGAACGTCAACAATGTCAAAAAAATCGTTTTCAGCGATGGATAACAAAAAAATAGAAGAGAAGTTTCGCATGCTAAAAAGTGGCGAAATTTTTGACGATGAAATGGAACCCGTCGGGGACGGAAGACCCAGATATCCGTCTCGTCAAGATCTTTTAGATAAGTTAGAAGAGTCTCCTTTAGAAACAATAAATGGTACTGGTGAATGAAATCCAGCTATCCATGCCATTGGTTCTTCCGCAGTAACTGACAACGCAGATTGTATAGGTAGTGTCATCCCCGCTGAATTATACTTCGTAGTCGGACTACTCTGTACATTTATCATCACAATGTTAAAAATTAACAAATCCATAGAGAAAAAAAATATATACTCTGTGGTCATGTTTGCCGCGCTGTCAACTTCATTGTACTTTTTTGTGCACGAACCGTCACGTCGGCTCTAGAAAATATTTCTATATTTTGGCGATTCAATCACTAAAATAGGACGAAAAAGAGAATAGAAGAACTATTGGAACGGGTGAGGGATGTGGAGGATCGGGCGAGAAGGCGCTCTCATTACCACCGCTCGGGTAAGTCTTTCCTAGTAGATACCATCCTACTTTATGTGGCGCTTTTTCCAAGTTTCGGAGCAGAGGATAATCATAAGATTGATTACGTACGTGACATACACTTCTTAAAACGTCCCGTAAGAGCTTTCACGAGGTTAGCCATTGGACACGCCACACACGTTTCGTTTTGACTACCTATAGGTCGAGACCACAAGAGCTTTCACGAGAGGTTAGCCGTTGGTCAAGAGTGCGTTCAGTCAATGAGTTAAACATCCCCTACTGCAATTCTAGAGATTTCAGGAGAGGTTAGCCGTGGATAGTAATTTAAATCTTGCAGTTTTGAACCTAATATCAGTTCTTTCTTTCCTAGAGGATTACGGAGCCCACTCTAGTCGGAGTCGGCTCACCATGTCACCGTCAACCATTGGATGAGAACCTTTTCCGAAATCCCACTCCACAGCTATTGCCATTGGGTGCAAAGGAGGAGGGGACGAATGTGGTAGACGTATGTCCAGCTTTCACTAATGAGGACAATGATTCCTTCCAGCCAGCATCGAAGAGTCGCTTGGTAGAGAGGAGGTTCCCGTGGCATAGAGATACATGAGAGTTTATGCAAACGCTGGACTGTAGTTCTACAATACAGAAACAAAAGCCGTCCTCATCCGCAAATATGACGCTCCTCAAAACTGTAGCCTTCTTACCCCTCCCGAACAGAACGTTGAGGTGAGAGCTGCACTGAATGAAACCAGAATCAAACGAGATAATAGAATTTCAGAACATCAAAAGCCTCTAGGGACAGGTATGGCCGGCATAGGTAAAACGCTTAACAAAGTCATGAATAAAGAGGGAAGAAACGACATTGAATATGTGGAAACTCTAAGTGACACAGCTAGACTGTTATGTGATTTGTTTTATGTCAATTCTATGACACGCCGCTTCCTTATTCTGCCCAGTCTGAATAGGAACATGAAAGAATTAATGGAGAAAACACAAATTTCGGAATTCCTATTTGGGGATAACCTACAGGAAAAGGTGAATGCCACTAAAGCAGTCAACAAGTCTGGACAGGAATTAAAGAATACTCCAGCCAGCTGTCACACCCAGGAAGTATTTAAATTACCAGGGCGCACCACCTCAACAGGCTCCGCGTGTGAGTGGGCAGAAGCCCAAGTTGAGACGGACCATGCAGGCGAGAGCAATAGCACGTCCAAGGCGCCCCCCACAGAAATATTATCAATACTCACGTCGCCAAGGCCAGGATCGTCGCTAATACAGGTACTAACTGGTAGATTGCAATACTTTTCCGAACAATGGAATTCTATTACAAATGATCCAATCATACTTAGCTGGATCAATGGTTATAAAATAGACTTCTCCGATATTCCTGTTCAAGAAACTGTGCCACTAAATAGTCACTTTAGTACAAAAGAAAACAATTTCATTTCCAAGGAAATTGATAAATTGTTAAAGTTAGGTGCAGTGGTACCATGCACCCCTATAGAGAACCAGTTTCTTTCTATTATATTTATCCATCCCATCCAAGGTACTTGGAGATTTATACTGAACTTCAGAAACCTCAACAAGTATGTTACTACTTATCATTTTAAACTAGAGGACTTAAGAACTGTTATTGAACTCATGCATCCAGGTTACTTCACTGGTACAATAGACCTTAAGAATGCGTAATGATTTTAGTCAGGGAAAAAATAGGAAACATCTGCGATTCACTTTCCAAAGTCCATTTTTCGAATTTACTTGTCTTCCCTTTGGACTTAATACAGCACCTTATGTCTTTACAAAGATTATGAAACCAGTTGTTAGCTACATGAGATCATTAGGTTTATTATCTACAATCTATTTGCATATATTCTTTGCCTTGCAGACACAGATGAGGAATGTTTACACAATATTATTACTACAAGAAATATTCTTAAAACCTTAGGCTTTATCATTAACACTAAGAAAAGTAATCTTTACCTTTAACAGTGGTGTTGATACTTAGGATTTATTTTAAATTCCAGACAATTTTTTATACTATTACTATATAGAAAGGCGGACCTCATTAAAAGTAAAATTGAAACTATAAGATCCAAACATAGATACAAAATTCCTGATTTTGCCCAACCTATAGGCCTCCTCATGTCTGCATGACCAGGTGTAGAAGATGGCTGACTTTACACTAAAATCTTGGAAAGTCACAAAACAATCGCTTTAAATGATAGTAATGGGAATTACAAGGACTTTTTAAGTATTTCTCAAGAAATTCAAAATGAATTAGACAGGTAGCACTCTATCGGTCCAACTACCCATAGCAAAATGTAATTTCATTTTAGAAATTTTCTTTGGGGGTTGGTGTGTAATGGTATCAGAAGTCATGGCCATTGGAATGATGATGACATAAAATTTCATATAAATTATCTTGAGTTGCTAGCAGCAATTATAGGACTAAAGACATTTGCATCGGGGAGCAGTAACTGTGAAATCTTACTTAGGATAGATAACACAACCGCCATAGCATATATAAATAAGATAGGTGGGACCCGTTTCCGCCATCTTAACGATTTAGCTAGGGAAATCTGGCAATGGTGCCAAGGAAGAAGAATATGGGTCTTATATTAGTTCTAAAGAAAACACGATATCTGATTTAGAGTCTAGGCGACCTACCTCTGAATTAGAATGGGAATTATGAAAAACAGTGTTTAAAACTATTGTTGATAAGTTAGGCAGACCCCATATTGATTTATTCGCATTTAAGTATAATGCCAAGTGTCCAAAATATGTAACATGGCGTCCTGACCTTGACGCTTACTCCACAGATGCTTTCACCATTCAGTGGCAGGAACTTTTCCTCTATGCTTTTGCCCCATTCGCTCTAATATCAAAGGTCTTACAGAAAATAAGGAGAGAGAGAGAGCCACAGGCATTGTTATGGTTTCACAATGGACCTCTCAACCTTGGTACCCACTGTTCAATTATCTGTCAGAAAAAAAATTTTTTGGACCTCATTGTGATTTATTGCTGTCCCCTTCCAGGAGTCTACACCCTCTGCACAGGAGTCTCACCCTAATTGCCGCCACATTATCAGGGAGGCATTCATAAGAAAAGAAGTACCGATTCCTTCAATGAAAATAATGCTGGGGTCACAATAAAAAAAAACGAGACAAAAACACTGCTCTAAATTAATGGATTCAGTTTTCTCAACACCAGGATATGGATATAACAGCATCGGTTCCCACAGTGATATCATTCTTAACCCCCAAGTTTAATAACGGGTTGTCATACAAGAATTATTATTTTATAATTAGTTACGCCATATCAATTTTAATGTAATTTTCTGTTTCTTGAAAATGAGTTCTTAGAGTTAAAACGGGTAACCGGGGCTCCGGCTTGACGTGCAGGAGAAGGAACGGGGTGGTTTTTGGTCAGTAAGAGTAGTGACACTCCCTCCCGCCTCACCCAGGCGGGAGCAGTAATTCGATGATTTTCCCCCCTTAAAAAAAAAGAGTTCAGGAATCAAACTTACATGCAACTCAGCAACAACGTAATAGAGAACATTCACACCTGAAGACTTGCGAAACTGTTTAGGGATTATTACTTTTATGTCAGTGTACCAATACTCCAACATTCGATCGTACTGGGGAAAATTGGGTTCGGCCCATTACGAGAAACTATGCCATTAAACAAATTTGAAAAAATTAGGAAGCTATTACATTTTAACGATAACTCTAAACATCTCCCAGTCGATCATCCAGACCACGACAAGTTACACAAATTGTGGCCAGTTATAATACATTTAAACACTAGATTTTCTAGGGTAACAATTGACCAACGCTTATCCAACGATAAACAACAACAATCAACAAAAATCGGACACTTCTTGAAGCAGTATATGAATAAACCTCACAAGTGGGTTTTCAAATTATTTGTCCTCTGCAGCTTACTCGGGTATTCATATAATTTTATCATATACGCGGGTAAAGACAAAGATGACGAGAGACTGCCAAGTGAACCACAACTAGGAGTTGTGGGACAGACTGTTATGAGTGGTTCCGAAACAAAAAACATCGTTTACTTCGATAATTAATATACGTTTCTACCTCTAATGTATCATTTGGCCACTGAAGTAATCCATTCCTTAGAGCCATACAGCGAAATTGTTTGGGAAAAAGTTATAAATTGCCTCAAAAACGTGACATAATGAAAAGTTCTATACCACGAGGAGCATACGAAGAACATGTCACTACTTTTGATAATGTCGACATATCTGCAGCTTCGTGGAAAGACAATAAACAGGTTGTACTGGCGTCCACTTACATTGGTACAAAAACTGTGCAAACAATAGGTATGACAAGAAATTCAAGCGAAACGTTGAAATTGCTTGCTCCAAGCTCGTAAAAGAGGATAATGCTCATATGGGAGCCGTTCAAGGATTCGTAAGATTAGAAAATGGTACATGAGAATATTTTACCATCTATTAGACCTGACTATCATCAACGCCTGGATTATTTACAAAAAGTTATAGGCCAAAGGGGGAAAGCCAGCAAAGATATGAATCTTGCAGACTTTCATTCTGATTAGAAGACACACTTTGTAAATATTCCACACTTGTACCGAGGTGTCGTCCGCGTACTACATCAACTCCAAAAGCCGGCCCACCTCCCAGGATACGGAAAGGAAAACCTTGCCAAGTTTTGCTCCCAACCGATATTACACTTGTCGGTCATTAACAAGTAAGAACGCCTAATAGAATGCAATGTATATTTCCAACCTGCAACTTGAAGACTGTAATTATGTGCGCGAAATGTAAGGTTCCATTATGCGCTAAAAAGAGTAAAGACTGTTTCAATAACCTACACAGACAATAATGAACCAAGTAATGTAGTGCCAAACGGCACATGTTCATTACGTACGTACGATACGTAAATCCACAATAATTATTTTTTTTATTATTATTTTTCCTCGAATCTAAGTACAATATATATATACATTTTTTTAAATATATAAAAAAAGATCATGCATTTAAGGGTTAAGACGCCCACTTCTATAAATGTGACTTTTTCCGACTTATATGTACTTTCTAAGATTATTTAGACATCACTGACAAATGGTGAAGGAAAACATCGTAAGGACCTGGACTTTATAATATATAATTATATGTTTAAAATCGTCAACCCGCATTGAGCAAGCGTGGTGATTAATGCACAAATCTTCTACGTGTGAGAAGATGCTTTGTTCAGCAGTGGGCACTTATAGGCTGTTGATGTGATGTAAAACGAAAGAAATCCCGTGTAATGACTGAGAAGAACAAGTACTAAACTTTAAATTTAACTATTAACACAAAATTTATTTCCGTTTTAGAGCTTTTTATGGTATTATGGCAAACGAGCAGACATGTCACCCGATGACAGATATAACAATCGGCGCTGGCCATGGACACCCGCTACACTATAGAAGTAACAAGTGCGTTAACTCACCATGTGCACAGGGCAGGACCCGAAGCCGTTCTCCCTCCTGGTAGTCATCGAGGCAGATAGCGCAGGTATCGTACGGGTCTCCCTTGCTGAACTTGCAGGTTGGAATCTTCTTCAGAGATCGGCTCGGGAGCCTGTGACGACGAGCGCGACGTCTATCTTTTATGCATTTCACTATCTGAAAGTATCGAAGAAACAGTTTAGTATGTTTTATATCTACTATATAAAAATAAGTCAGTTTTTCCTTCCTGACGCTATAACTCCAGAACGCACGAACCGATTTCCACGGTTTTGCATTCGTTGGAAAGGTCTCGGGCTCCGTGAGGTTTATAAAACATAAAATAAAATTCTTCATCTTTTAATCACTAAACGAAATGTTACAGAAAATGAAGCCTAACGCTGGTGAAACGGAGTTCGCCGGGTTTGCTAGTAATTTCTAAAACAGAAATAAATCGTGTCGTTATTTTATGCAATGAAAGTAAGGGATCTTTAGCACTTTCATTAAATATTGTCGCGAGTCGACAGTCAACTCGTATAAAAAAGTTATTAATTGTTTTTATACAATTTCCAAAATCGTTTTATCATCCCTCTGTGATATGATCCCATGTGAAATGTTAATTACCTGCTTACTTCTGTCAAAATAACAAACTTTTGCATGCTATGTTTTTATCTTAGCGAAACATGTTGAGCTATTGTAATAATATTAACACCAATGTATACCATGTTTTACGCAAATAAATGATTTACTTACTTACTTACTTTGTAACCAAATCCATAAACACACGATGAAAACAAAAACCCAAATGAAGATCATCAAACCCAAGTAGTGTTTAACAGCAAATTTCGACTTTATAAACCATTGAACGCATGCAATATTAAACCTTGTGTACTAAGTAATACGTACCATAAATATAAGTATTACAAGTAAGCACAGCACCACGACGATCGCGAATGGCAGGAGCAGGTGTGTGTTGATATTGAACGGGAGGTCGCCGTTTACCATTATATAGAAACTGAAACAGTAATACACAATCATTACATATATTTACCATGTAAACATTACTATAATAACTATCGATGAACTGACCAATGTACTTAACGTAACTTTTTTTTTATAAATGTAACGTTCCCTTTAGTCTTTTATTTATCTACATACATTTTTCTCCTGTATCGTGTGTGGGCCAGCGTCATAAACAAACAATGTCATCACAAGCGGACTCAGACCAACAATTTACATATAAACATTGTATAAAAATGAATAGATTTTGAATTGATATCAATTCTTAATTTCAGCGGTTACTTTGAACTAAACTGATACATTTTGACAACATGATAACAAAAACTAAATAAAATGAATACACAAAGCCACCAACGTCCAGCAGTTAAAACCGACGCGAACTGAATGGGCCACACATGTGATGAGCATTATAAGTTTAGTGCAAGTTAAAGAAAGGTTATGAAGCGAAAATTCCCCGAGTATAGACAAAATTATGCGTAGCCAGTGTGGTCAAAGATAACCTAACCCATGTGAACATTTTTAGCGCGAAATTTAAAATCTAACGACACATACCTGATATATGGTATTTGAAATATCAGTATTATGATTTCTATTGAATTAAAAGGCGATATTAAAGAATTTGATGGATATCAATTTAAAGAATTATCTATATATATATATATATATATATAAATGAAACCCGTTTTCCGTAGTCACGCCACAACTTGAGAACGGCTAGACCGATTTGGCTGTTTTTTTTTTTGTTATTGTCAGGAGAAGGTTCTTATGACAGAAACAATCCTGAAAATCCTACGGGAACGGGAGAAAACGGGATTACGCGTACAAAGTCGCGAGCAGAAGCTAGTTAAATAATAAAAAAGAGTTGTTTGACGCGGAAGGTAAGTCTAGTCGTTTCAAGGTATTTTTTTTTTGTTATTTATACTTCTATGAAGCATGCGTATACTTATCAGTATTTAAGATTATCCAGTATAACTTACAGTTACGTTTACCCATTACAGCATAAAGATGCAATAGGATAAATATAAAGTAGGATGTTATCTATCAAAATTTGTCTGTTTATCACTCAAAACACAACCACCTCACGAGATAAAGACAGCTGATATTTATTTTCACTTCTTATCACATAATTAATGAAAGCTTCATTCAAGTTCAGAAAGTTCAATAAGTTTGTTTCTCTAGATATAAATAGGTAATATTTATTAGAAATTAATTAAAAATATTTTCTATATAAAATATTAATATAACAATCACTATGTAATTTAAAAAACTAACCAATCAAACAAATAAATACAAAAGTATTTTTGAACCACAATCCAAGGGTACATGTGCATGGCGTCACAATTTTAACAAAACTGAACCTAAAAGCAATACTTACGAATTCTATATAGATGCAAAAAGGTTGTATGTTGCACAGTACACGGAAAACATTGTGAAATGTTATGTATACGGGTTTTGACGCCCCACTGATACTACACTTCTCATCTAACAGTCCCATACACCGTGTGCTAGCGCATAACAAACACATTTTAAAAACACTATCAATATAATTATTTCACATTATTTTATTATTGAGTAACTGAGTGACATAGTGACTCACCCGCTTGTGTACAAGTACTCGTCGGCTAGCAGTAAGCCAGCGAGGTCGCTAACGAAAACCGACGGAATCTCTATCCCCTCCGGGTTTTTAGCCGACATAGTCTCTGCGAACAAAATGATAAAGGTAAACAAATCGTCTTCAAAAAACAATTTTATTAAATGCCGGTGGCGAAGTTCGGAACTAAAATAAATTGTATTGAATTTGACAGTTCGACGTGACATGTCCTTGACGCGCAGCGCCACATTAATCGGTAAAATTTAATTTGTGTAATGATTACGTTTTTTCCTGTCATTCATGACTTTTTTGTATGAATACTGAGAATTCATTGTATGATGTGATTATAGCATGTTGAACATTAGTTATTGTTCTTATTTACTCTAGCGAACAGTAATGTATTGGTTATTTTGTGTAACTACATTTTGTATTTAATTCTTCAGTAATATATTTTTATCTTTAAGTGGACGGAGAAAGTGTTTTAAATGGATCACAATATTAAAATTTTATTATAAACAGTGGCGGTTATAATTTTAATTCATGATTACGAGGTAGGTACATATTTTGTATGGCTTACGGTGGATTTTTAAATCTACAGATAATTGGGTATTTTCCTTAATCAAAAATGAATTATTTCGATTGTTCAATACAATAAAATATTAAAAAATAGTCAATTTTCATTAATTGATTTTATGACCAACTTAATTTCAGTATCTTTTCAGCAAATTTTTAAGAAATAAGTATGCTGTTTGACGCTAAGAAAACGTGACGTCTCAATACACAATCCCGTACAAAATTCATAGAAAACTGTCGTTTTTGACAGCTCGAAAAAAAGTATTGAATTTGACTAGTTGGCAAGTACCCAATTCTTAACAGTAGAATAAAAATGACATTTGACCGTTTTAAGTATGGAAGAATTGACAGTTATTCCTCTAAAAAAATGTATTGGCGTTGGCCTTAAGCAATGGAGAGCTATACGCCCACTGTCTATATTCCTAACCTACATTTTGTTAGGTTAGGTTAAGGAAAACTCAAAATGTATCTAATCGAAAGACAAGTCAGTGTATTAAAATGAAATATTATATGAAATCATTTTGAAAGTATCTTTTTATCAATGTATGACTTTGTACTTGAACATTTTATGAGATGTACCCATCGTTCATATGTTATACCTTCCATGTATTAATTTAATACACCATGTATTAATTTTGAACAACAATTTCTTCTACTGTCTACTACATTAAAGCTGCGCGACTTCGCCGCGACCGCGCACGCTGCTCAAGAGGAAGAACCCCTCTGTGGTTTGAAACTAGTAGAGCTTTTCTCAGTATATTCACGTGAGTAACCCGCGATTTTTAGTTAATTTAGTATGTCTCACGATAGTTATTAAATTATATATTAAAAATATATTAAAAAACAAATTCATACTACTGAGCATTGCAAATGAGATTCGAATAGGGCTACTGAACTATTAGCCATATAGACAATACATTAATAAACGCGTTTACTTTGTAAGTAAGAGTCCCTTAACTAACTTATTAGTGGAACAAATACCGATAATGTAATTATATCGTTCTATTTTTACATTAACTACGGAAATTATTTTTATCTTAACGCGCTATAACATTGGTGCATTTGAACTCATTGCACTTATTGCACCCAGTTTGTTACTATATCTATACGGTCTGATGACTTTAGAAAATATTTATATAATAAACAAGTAGATTTTTTGGTAGATTACTAATATAACATCACTACATAGTATAAAACAAAGTCGCTATCCGCCGTATGTCTATCCGTCTATGTATGCTTAGATCTTTAAAACTACGCAACGGATTTTGATGCGGTTTTTTTTATTAGATAGAGTGATTCTTAAGGTAGGTTTATATGTAACACATGCATATTACACGCGTGTGAAAGCCGGGGCACGTCGCTAGTTAGTATATAAAACAAAAAAGCTAGATTTCATGGTATGTTGTCTTTTTTAAGATGTTGATTATGTGTCAGAATATCATTTATTTCGTAGTACATTGTAATGTGACAAAATATTGGCATTTTTGGAGGGAGGTACATGGAACTTAAAACATAGAACATAGGTTACATTACTTGATATAGTAAGGGGCTTATAACAGAGGGAGAGTCCATTGGCACCCATTAGTTCAACAGTTACGAGGATAAACTTCATAATAATCTTAAACTCTTATTGTGAAAGCCATACAGGTCACTTTCGTATAACATTTCAAGATTTCGAATAATAATTTACTGGCATTTTCCATCACAACACACGGAACATTTTTCATACATTAATCACAAAATTATATCAGAAATGAGAAAACATTTCACTCACTAGGAACAAAAATGGCCTGGAGATGACCTGCATTGTGAATATATTTTATTTACTATTAAAAAAGTAATGGAGTAGACGCTTATTGCGTCTGTATGCAAACAAGTTTATCACTACAATGCCGTTGTCTGAGAAAGCTGGAGGGATGCCCTCGAGAGAAATTGCTTATTCACGATTTTGAGCTTTACTGACACAAATATAGTGATTAATTCTCAATGGAGATATGTTTATGTGGATGTTTCTTCGAGAAGCGATATTATATACATAAAGTACGTTTTATTATACTGTTATTTCAAAGAGGCTGGCCACTCACCGAGATCACTGGAGTTGACGTTGTGCACGATGGCACAGTCATAACCCGCCGTCTGCGCATTGCGAACCTTCACTTCAAAACTGCAGTTGTATCTGGAAGAAAAACATATAAATGAGTATCAAAAGTATACTTTTATAGGACAGGGCGGTAAACGAGCAGACGCATCCCCTGGTGGTAAGCAATCGGCGCCGTCCACGGACATCCGCAGTACCAGAGGCATTACAACTGCGACGCCCTTTGGGGTTTAGGGATTTGAAGATCGGAATTAGGGGATCGAGATAGGGAGAATGTTTTCGTCTCCGGTAACCTCACTCACACGGGCATTAATATACAATAATTTGATGGAAACTTGTACTTTATTTCAAGCAGAAATTTTTGCACTATTTTATTATTCAGAGCAATTTTACATTTGTACTAAATTCAATGTCTTTTGTTCATAGTTAGAGCAACCTTTTTGTTACGTTTAGCACTGTTCTGTATCACCACAATCATATTGTGTTACAATTGTGTTATCGTTCAACGAGTGACGTCAGAGGGATAGCTTTTATGTAGAGTGCATTATCAATGGCCTCGTATTGGTGCAACTTGTTGCTATATTATGTAAGAGTAGTACTAGTGCACTCGGAATATCTCTGGCTGCAGTTGTAGTTAGGGTATGGTAACTGTTTACCATCGAGCAGGCAGAAACTATGTTGCTACTGATGGCAGTACACAAAATCGTACTTTATTACGACACAGTAAAGTTAAAGATCTTTTTTTCGGTCGGTACTTTTGGAGAAACAAAGGAATAAAGAACTTATAACCTTATATACTTACCTAGCAAGGAGTACTATCCATTTCCCCGTGAAGTTATCAACAGTCGGCGGTTTGGGGAGAGGGGCGCAGCCGTCTGGAGGCTCGCCTGCGACTAGGAACCCGCGCAGACCATCAGCTGGTAGGTCGTTGCCGAAACTAGCCGGCATGTCGCGAAACTCCTCCATTATCTGTAAAAAATGAATTCATTGCTATATTTGTACCTTTTGTAGTTAATTACTATGCCGAACATTTAGACTGATATTATAGAACGATACTCAAGCATAGTTGGAAAGGGATGCATGTATCTGTTAAATGTATTAGCATCTCTTTTTAACTGTATTTGTGAATAGAACTCCGCTTCAGATTCTTTCTATAGTACTGGCCTTAAACTCCGAAGAGGCTCGCAGAAGTGCCGATATGTACAATACAACAAACAATTTTCATCAGTTACGATATAGGGCCCATGTATAGGTCAGTATATTCCTATACGGGGCCAAAATATTCCTTTGGACATTCATGGACGTGACATTATGTTAAATACAATTGATATTAATTACAATGATATCGAGTAAATTAACGATGTAAGTAAATTGTGTACAAATATTAAAACTGACGGCTGCGACAATGTGCAATGTTGTTTACAGTTGTATCTACAGACAAGTGCAAATATGTTCTGTTAGTAACACAAGACTTATACACACATGCTCAGGGTCATTTTTTTAAGGAGGGATAGTGTCTTACAGACTTAAAACCACCCCGACGCCTGCACTTCAAGTCGGAGGCTCCGGTACCCTCATCTCCGCGTCTCTGCGGCTCCGAATCGGCATCAGCCCTATTGGGGCCCATCCGTGAAGCTGAGGGTCTTAGCCTTAGTAATTATAACTGAGGATATACCTACTATAGGATATACATAGAAATAAACTAGACTAGCTCTTATAGATATAATTTTTTGTCATATCTACCATTATGTACCATCTACCATTATGTATGTACTATCTTTCTACCGAAACTAGACCAGCTATTCAAGTACACAACCCTAGTAACACAACATAGGCCAACAGGTCAACATAATTGTATGATATAATTTGCAAAACTAAGTACATGTAACTCATTATAATTGACAATTACTTTTAATTACCTCAATCAAATGATCTTTAGCTTGATAAACCTGACGTTCTAATGAAGTAAATATCTATCTACAATGTATCGGCACTATCGGTGTGGACCGTGTGAACTCCTCAACAATGTTAGTTTAGCTCAGTAGATAACTATTTTATCATGATCAGTATTAAACGATTCCCTTATCAAATGACTAACAATTGGAAAAATACTAACAAAATGCTGCATTCCGACCAGGTATAGCACTTGCACGGCATTTATATTCATCGGCGGAAGGACATCCATTTTGAAACCACAGCCAAAACACTTTTTTTTAAACTTATTTACATTCTATGACGAACGAAAAAGTTTTTATTTTGACGCGACACTTGAGAGTTTTTTTCACATCATCCAGTAATGGAAATTATGGTTTTCAGCCTATACCACTTTTACATTGGCGCGAAGCACATACGTTGTCCATGTACGTTAGTTTTTCAGCCACTGATAAAAACTAGTATAAACTTGATATTTGTTCCGTTCAGTTTAATTAGCGATACCGTGGGAGGGATAAAATGGCGATATGCTGATAATTATTCATAAAGTTTTTAATAAAGTTTGCTTTTAATCTATTAAAAAACATACAATGGCAAAATTGAGTAATATGTGCCAATCAAAGATAAATATTACACAACTCTACATAATATTTTTTAAAACATTTATGCCTCCCGCTTTAAATAATATTCGCTACAAACCGAACGCAGTTACGAAATGATACTGGCATTTAACACAACACTACAGCTACGCTATAACAATGACACTGGCAGTCGACCCCAAGCCATAGATAAGTAAACACAATTCAAATAAAAGAACGAGAGAACGCAAGGAGGTTGGTAACTACTAAGAAGATCTAATGAAGACTAGTGGTTAATACCAGCAGTTAGTTATTTAGTTATCGAATGGAAATATTCCGCACGTGAGATAAGATTAATAGTTGTCTGATTACAATATATACTTATGACTGCTAGAGATTTTTTTACTTTAGATTTATAACGGTTAATGTATTGGTATTAAATCTGGACGCAATAGGCTAAGTTGCATACATATAACTTGCAAAAACGTATGTTTTGAATATTCTTGTCGTATAATTTGGCAAGAAGCTGCTCCAGGTGGAAACTATTAATAACTTCACGTATTTATTTATATTTTAGAGTAAATATGCATAACGTACAAGTATTCTAAATATAGCTAGGACTAATCAATGTCGATGTGTATCATCAGATACATGGAGAATAGGTTTCCTCAAGGGAGTATTCTGGGTCCGTCGCTGTTGTTACGAACGATAATAAGACAAATTATTATCCTACAAGTAAATACCTAATGATGTGATTTTTCTCATCCTCTTACAAAGATTGCTTAATTGGTCGCAAATATAATTGTGTTTGATAACATGAAAATTAAATAAGTAGATAGGATCATGTTGCAAATGAGAATGAGTAAAGTTTGCGAAATGACGATGTACTTGACCATTTTTATGGTAAACTATATTTTTCACAGTTTCTTATTATTTAAACATATTTCCATATATGTAACTAGTCCTTCACGGCTTCACCATAGCAAGAAAAGGGTATGAATGAAAATACGTAAGATTGTTTAAAAACAAAACAGTCAACATTATTCAGATTACAGATAAGATAAATTCAGTACATCAATTTTACAATCAAACGATCGATAGTATTATGGATTAGTTTTATCATCGAATTTGTAAATGAATACTATTTTTACTATAACAATAACAGATGTATTATCATTTCCCTGATAATTTCTGTTACCAGAGAACATAGTATGTTGTCGTCTAAAGAGATCAAATCGTTACCGTGTTCGGAGCTCTAATAGACCTGCACAAATTAACCAATCAAATCGAGAGTAAAACGCGATAACGTTTAGATCTTTTTAAACGTAAGTCATCTAAATAACCAATCTTTAACCTTCATACATATCTACAGATAGGCTGTCATATACAAAACCTATTTTATGGAATGAATTCCAAAGGATTAGCGTGTTCAAGCATTCAGTACGCACTTCAATATTATCAATAGTTTAGATAAATCTAATAGCCTAATAACGACAATTAACTTGATTATGATTTATGAGATAATCGCGATTGTCAATATTGATTGTTCGCAAATGTACGAAACGAAAATATACGTAATAGGTATAAAAGAATGGACATATTTGACCTTGTTTTTTATCATTTGTTAATATTTATTATCTTGGTGTGATTGTGTTTTAAGGACACTAGGCTAGTACCTATTGAATGATAACTCGATTGAGCTGTACCAATATAGTATTTAAATAAAATATAAGCAATATAATGCTTTGGCCTAAGTGCTCGATACTTGCGTGACGAGCTCCGGCCACCGTAAGTGTGGGTCTGCGGACGGCGTGCAAGGGTAGCTCGCCGCACGACCAGAACTAGACCCTTGCCCAAAGCAAAAGAAAGCGCCTCAAAGAGCCATCAGACCACCATAGGTGGAGCCCAGCAAGGCTGATGCCCAAAAACCAGGATTAGGAACGCGGTAGTTTTTAGTCAATAATAATCTGACACTCCCTCTGGCCTAACCCAAGGCTGATTCACTCATTGGATGTTTTTCCATCCTCAAAATAAAATGCTCGATATTGATTCTTTAGTAACGTTGTTTGCCGTGTGTTATTCCTCCCACAAGTACCGTAAGAAAGAGCCGAGTAAGCGCCAGCACATTTACCAGACACCGGACAGCAACGCTCTCTGATTAAACCGAACCTTTTTAACTGACGTCATCTTTTCCTTGTAAACTACAGCAAGACTTGTGTAAGCAAACATTCACAAAATAATTATGCTAAGATCCCTAAAGTCACATTTTCACCAAAGTACGTAAATTAATAAACAGTACACGACCCTGATCTAATAGAAACTGACGGCATATCCAAACACCTACATTTTTAAAAATAGGCCATGAATACAAGCCCCGTGTTTAGTGTTACAGGCTATTCGCATTAGGTTTAGCCCAAAATAAACATCTAGGTCATAATATTAATAATACTGACGTAAGTTATTACACCGCTAATGTTATGTTTACACTTATAAAATGCTATTAAGCTAATTTCGAGGAGTCTGTTGATATTGTAAAATGTATTATAGATGGCGTATTACAGCTACCTCATAGCCATTGGGCTATGAGGTACAAGGTTACTTTTGGAGTCTATTATCGAATATTTCAAACTTGTAATCTTCTAGTAGTCTATTCATACAGGTACTTTTAATTTCAAGTACAAAAGCATGCTTCAATTGACCACTTGTCACTTAGTAGCGTCACATATGTGTCGTCAGAATGTTGCTGAAAATTAGCATGCTAATTTCGGGCATGCTTGCGAATCGACAGGCGTTTGATTTTTGACGTGTACCATCTTCACGCTTGCGACTCGACCAACATACGTACATACAAGACAAGGAACGTTACACATAAGACAGCGTTATAATTGCAAATTGCAAGCTGTAGCGGATACAATTATGTAGTCACCTATAATTAAAAACATACGGTTCATGCGAGTACACAACCATCGTCATGTAAACTCTTACGATGCAAAGAATTAATTTGATTATGTACCTGCAATTGCAGCATACTAAACGCAGCATTGAAGTGACGCATACTATCAAGTTACTATCAACTAGTTACACTGGAAACAGAATTTTATTTCTATTCAATTAGGTGTAATTTTCGTTGGAAGCAAAATATTTTCGGATATCATTACTGTTAGTGGTTGGGCGTAGCCGATATCGAACGCTCTAGGATTAATTATAGATTGTCAATAGAGATGATTGTCAAGTATAGTTCGGGTATTTATAGTACAAGTACCGGTTTATTACACTTGGTTCAACAATAATTCCCAGGTGAATTGAGGACACTAAAAAGTAAACTTTGCTTACCTAGGTGAACCAGTGGAATAAACCGAAGCGCCTTATATAACAATCTACTAACTACAGTGTAGTAAAACTTGGTAGCTCATAAAGGGATTGACCAATACCATAAATCCCATTTTATGTAAAATCGTA